CTTAAGCATTCCACGGACTTGTCAATTTATGTTAGATTATAAGGCCTGCATGTTTCGTTCCAAAGTCGTGTGCTCTGCACTGACCGGGGCCTCAGTCTACGGTCATGTACACTCTACTCTACTGAAGTGTAGCTCGAGTACAGCGGTGTTCCGAGTGGAGGCAAAGAACAGGTGTGGGCAGGGGCTCCCCGAAGTTCCAATTCAACTTTCAGTCTTGTGTTGTTTCCGACAAAAGGTGGAGCGCTGCACGGTACAGCCGAGCCGATGAGGGCGAAGCCCTCGACGCACCAGTTAAAACCCCGCTTGGACCTGCATGTGCGCGCTCGCGCGCAAGGGGGGACTTCCGTCCCTTCCCTCTGTCCCGGTAGAGAGAGAGAGCGAGAGAGGGGCCTGCCCCCACCCCAAACCCCGAGCAAAGCAAAGCAAAGAGAGCGGCTAAACAGTGGTTGTTTGTGTGAAACAGGGACAACACCCGGCACCCCATGCCATGCCAGATTTGTTCGGATGCTCACTTGTCTGCTTAGATCGAGAGCGGCCTTTGGCGGCACTTCTCTCCACAGATGGCTTCCAACATGTTGTGGGCGTATGGGAAGGTGCAGCTGCGTTTGCTCTTGCAGCTGCTGTCAAAGTCTCCCGCTGGGGCTGCTTCTGTTGTTAGACCATTTTTGGCGACGTCCTCGTACCGTAAGCTCGGTAGGTCGGCATTGCCCACATGCGTCTCTACGACACCTTCGCAGAGTTCATCTCCATGAACATCGACCTTTTTGACAACCAGTCGCTCAACGAGGGAGAGACGTTCCATTCAGTCATATTCAGTCAATTTGGAATTGGTGATTTCGTCATGGTATGTTGTCGTGTGACGCGACGGTGCAGACAGCCTCGAGCGTGCAATCCAAGGAACATCGCAAACTCTGCATGGGCATATGCAACTACACAGCTCCCCAGTTTCTCGGCGTTGAATTGCTGAGGCGGCTGCTTCCCTGGTCCGACACACTGCGCTGACACTGAAGGAATATTTTGTTTATGATTTATGATTCAACACCCGAGGCAAAGAGGTGTTTGACACTCTGACGCGCAAAGCTTGTGGACGATTGAGTACCTTTCGCCTGGATGAGTTGTGCGGGCTCATGCGCCTGCAACTGCACGTAGCTGTAGGAGACATCTTGTATTGCAGAGGACGCATAAAGTGAAGAATGAATGAGGGCCTCTCTGCTTGTCGGGCGCCCATACAGTGCCATACAGCCATCCAGCCATTCAGGTGGGCCTATGTCAGAGCGAAG